CCTTTTGGTTTAATCTCTGAATTATCACCCAAATCTTCCGGATATAGTTGTACCCTAGCTTCTGTGTCTCTAACGACCCCCAGACATTCTCATCTTCATAACATCATAGAAAACAGCTCATCAAATCAACGGCAGTTTTACCCCTTCATTTTAATTTTTGTTGTCGGACTGTCCTTGGTTTAATCTCTGAATTATCACCCAAATCTTCCGGATATAGTTGTACCCTAGCTTCTGTGTCTCTAACGACCCCCAGACATTCTCATCTTCATAACATCATAGAAAACAGCTCATCAAATCAACGGCAATGTTTTACCCCAACTGATACAATCAGCAACACATTAAGATCAAGCACAACTTGGGCACTGACCACCTGTGGTAGTCACTAGTCTATCACCCTTAAATCATTTGAATTAAATTGAAATCAAGAAGCAGTCCAGAACATGTCTGCAGTGAACAAACTTTTCAATATAGTGTATTTACCATTTAATGGCTCAGAGCGAGGATGCAAGACCCCTGATCTCAGTTAGCTGATTGCTGAACCCATGGCGCTGACTGACCTTGGGCTGCAAGGCCCAGATTGAGTTCGCCATCCTTCTGAATGGTTGAACTCCGCAATGTTCTATTACAGGTTTCCCACGCCCTTTCTTTAAAGATGTTCAAAGTTGGGAACTCAGAAAAATACCCTCGATGACCACCTCTGTCTTTGCAGAGTGGGTCCAAAGACTGGCACAGTCAGGAGGTCTGAGAGTGCGGGGGGCGGGGCTTATCGCTACCTTCCCGGCGCTTGAGCGATGTCGGCTGGGTGGGGAGCAGGCGTGGCTCTCCTTCCCGCGGTGGATCGGGGCCCAGGCTTCTTCCCGGAGCTTGAGCGATGGCGGCTGGGTCGGGAGTCCATAATTTGTATATTAGAGTCAATAATCTGAATTGTTACTTTTCATGCCCCCAGAATACTTAGCCATATCAGTTATGCCTTCAGCTATGACCTTAGTTGTGTTAGATGTTCTTATGCAGTTCATCAAAAACAGAGTCCAGTCAGGAAAACAGAAGAAGGAAAATCTAAAATTTAAAAAAAATACTCTGTTAAGGAATCAGTTAAGTTGCTGGGAGTAAACCATTGGGAATAAGGTAATTTCTAAGGTAATCTAGGTAATTTCTGTATCAGAGAGCTTAGTTCTGGGAGCCAAAGAAGAGAAAAAAGTAATTGAATATTCCCAGTTAGAATAGGGCATACATTCAAAGTTCATAGTAATGATCTCATAAGTCTAATTATTATATTTTTATTATAACATATTCCTCCAGTTAATAGCTGTCTTTATTCACATGCTTTAAACAGATGAGCTCCAACAAGAAATGTTGGATGATGCACAGAAGAAATTGATGAACTTAGTAAACAGCACAGAAGGAAAAGTGGACAAGTATGGCTTTACCTTTTAACTTTTTTATATTTTGTAGAGATGGCTTTTGTGGTTAAACAGTTTCTACATGTAGATGTTTGTAAGTGATTACATTTTCAGAAACATTTTCTTTTCTTTAATAAGGAGAAATATCAGTAGTTTTAATGGAAGTCAGCAAAATGATGTTCTACTATTTTTTTCCCTTTACTGTCCATACATGGACATATCTTGCTCAAATGTGTTAGTTTTGTACCTAAGAGTATATCAATACTCTCTCATTTAATATTTTTAAAAATTTAGGTATTATCAGCAAAATTTTAATACATAGGAAAATAGGGAAAGACAATGGTGAAACACAAGAATAGTTATCACCATGTAAGTGTCTGCTCCAAGGGAACATGAGCCCTGACAGACAGTGAAAATTACCAGTGAGGCACCTCCTCAGTAGGTTATTGGATTGAAGAAAATAAGTGATGTTTAACAGATATACATTTGGGGTTATATGAGATATTCCTAATTGGGTTTGTCAAGATTTTCTTATAAGCTCCTTTGAAGTATTTTATTGTTCATTGTTTTTGTAGTTAAATATTTAATTGATTAAGTACAATCACATTTTTGGGGACACTCCATGTGCAGTTGGTGTAAGCTTTTTCTTCCTTCATTTCCAGAGTCCTTATGAGAAATCTCTTCATTGGTCATTTCCACACACCAAAAAATAAGCGTCATGAAGTGTTCCAGTTAATGGGAAGCATCTTGGGTATTAAAAGGGAGGAAATGGAGCAGGTAATTAGACAGTGACAGCCATTCTGTATTCATTTATTGTTTATTTTCCTGAATATATTTATAACTAAAATAGTGTCATCAAAGATTGTTTCTTTTTACTATGTGTAACTTTTACTTAATTTCCTCAGTGATGTAAAAATGGAATCATTTTGTTCTACATTGAAGAGATATATCCAGTTTGTATGTATAGTTTAAATATTTTGCAGTTTAAAAACCAGTTCTCGTATCAGGATGCTGAAATTTTGAATTACAGTACCCCAAATTGTATTTGAGATTGGGCTTAGGATGGAATTTTATCCTATTTGTTGCCTTTGTCAATAGTAGGAAACACTTACCAGAAATTGGATTAAAAGCTTGATTTGCCAGTATCTGAAATCATGTAAAAATGACTATCTTTTCTCATATTGATAATATTTTTCTGTTTTAAAACAATCCTGCAGTTGCTTAATGAAGATCAGGGAGGTGTCACTAGGTGGATGACTGGGTGGCTTGGAGGAGGATCGAAAAGTGTCCCCAACACTCCACTGAGACCAAATCAGCAATCTGTGGTTAATAGTGTAAGAGCTAATTTTATTTTTGTTAAATATGAATGATGAAATTTGTATATTGCACTTATTTGCAAAGAATCAGTTTTTTTCTTTTAGGGTATTTTATGTAGCCATTTTATTATTTTGGAGTTGAGGAAAAAGATTTAGAGATAACAACCAGTTTTAATAATTTGATTGCATATAGGTTTTATTTTCACTTTTTAATGGTACTTTTGTTTTTTAGAGTCTTTACTGTTCTTTTATATGTGTTTGATTCTGGTACCTCAGGCAATCTTTCTGCAAAATTAAAGCAGTTAATTAAAGCCTCTGTTAAAGAGGCTTTATTTTACTCATTTCTGCTTGTTGCAAGTCACTGAGCTTGTGCCACCTACTCAGCCGGGCTCTGCCCCAGGCATTGTAAGCACTGGGGATGCAGCTGAGAACTAGCAGGAGCGGGCACCTGCCCTGCAGCCTGTGTGGCAGGAGGAGGCAGCTAGGATGCCCGGTGTGCAACAGTGCTGGGCGAATGGTAATGGAATTTAACAATACTGTGGGAATGTAAGGTTTCTTTCTTTATTTTTAATAAAGAAAGCACATAGGTTAGGATAAAGGCCTATTTTTGTTGGATAGCATAAAATTTAATTTAAACAAAAGAAATTCATTACATTATTTTAATTTGACAGTGCTACTAGAGATCTTTTGCAGATCTTTCAAAGATTATGTTTAATACTTTTTTCACTTGATACAATTTTTCATGTTATTAAAATGAACAGACTTCATGTGTTAAGTGCCACTAATGATAAGAAATGAGAGTCCTCAGTTGGCTAATTCTGATTATAATGTTTGAAATGAGTGTTGTCATCAAAGATTATTAAATTGTTGGGCTGGGGATTTAGTTCAGTGGTACCACACTGGCCTGGCAGGCGCAAAGTCCTGAGTTCAATCCCTTGTACCAAAAGAAGAAAAAAAGATTGTTGTTAATTTGCAGTAGCTACATATGAAACACTAGAATGGTCTGTAAAGCTGTTTTGTAAAAAGGAAAAAGATTCAAATGGCATGATTAGTATTTAACATTGAATTATAATACTTGGTACATTTTCTTATCTGTAGTGAATATAATTTTATTATCTAGCCTAATAAAGTATTTTTTCTTAGTCTTTTTCAGAACTTTTTGTTAAATTTCTAGAAACAGAATCTCATCCATCTATTCCACCACCAAAGCTTTCTGTTCATGATATGAAACTTCTAGGTTCACCAAGAAGGAGAGAACTAAATTCAAATGTATCAGAATCCTTGAAAGGTAAAACTAGATGCTTATTTCTTTTCTACAGTGTTAAAAATTGAATGTTTAACTTTATGATTTTGCTTTATAGTGATATTAACTAAATTAGTGTTATTGTAAATGTGTGACAGTGACTTCTAAAATTCTAATAAGGCGTCAAATTTTTGCTTTCTGTGTTGTAACAATCTGATATTTAATTGGCTTAGAATTTAAATAGTATAAACAATCTTCCCTTTGTATATCAGATGCTGTAGTTCTGTCTATGCATGAACTACTTTGAGTTATTCCTTTGGACATGGTAGTAAACTGGTTAAACCTTTGCCTGGTCATCTGTTTTCTTCTCTGAGTAGCGGTGCTGTTTACTAATTAGAGTTAGATACTGAGTTTATAGTTTAAGAAAGGGTTTCCCCTTGGAAAATCTAAGTGTTATAATCAGCCAAACTTTGACATGAAAATAATACATGCTCAATTTAGCAAACTAACTTAGACCTCTAAGAATATCATGAAGCATTCTGACATGTTGAAAGCTCTGCCTGGATGACCTACCCTAATAGGTTGTATGGTCTTATCACTGACATTGACATGTAGTAAAATTTGTTGAGTTGAAATTGAATTATCTATTAGACCATTTATAATTTCTTTATTTTTTTTATTAGTATATGTTTTCAATATATGATATTTACATTTGTTTTGGGGAATTGACGTATATCACTTTTGGTCCTCCCCTTACCCCACCCCTTTTCTGATCTCCTAGCTATTCCAAAAACTTTGCCTTCATTTCACTATTTATATTGTAAGTTCTTATATAAGAGAAAACATGAAATATTTAATTTTCTGCGTCAGATTTATTTAACTTAATATTATGGTCTCAAGATCCATCTAGCCAGGAGTGGTGGTGCACACCTGATACTCCAGCACTAGGAAGTCTGAGGCAGGCGGATCACTGTGAGTTCAAGGCTATCCTAGATTACACAGCAAGGCCCTGCCTCAAAAAAACAACAAAAAAAGTTTTCCTATGAATGATATAAATTAATTATTTATGACTGAATAAAATTTGATTGTGCATATATACCACATTTTCTTTATTCATTTGTTCATTGATAGACTTCTAGGCTGTTTCCAGAGCTTAACCACTGGAAGGTTTCTTTTTTAAAAAAAAAAAACTTTGTATTTTAATATAGGCTGACTAAAGGTATATGTTATTATATATTCTTTAATTTATATCATACATATATTTAAATTTACTTCAGTATTTATATTCTGCAATCTTAAAAACCTCTGTGGTTATTAGACAAATGTTTCTATTTTCTGAACTTTTATAGAAAGATAAAGTAGTAAAATCAATCTGTTTACATATTTCACTGCTAAATTTAATGAAAAGACATAACTTTATCTCAGAGGTATAGAAACTACTAAATTTTTTTTATTTATTGTACCAGTTTACATTCCCACCAACAATGTAGGAGGGTTCATTTTTCACCATAGCCTCCCCAACATTTGTTATTATTTGGTTCCTTATTGATAGCTGTTCTTTCTACTGTAAGATGCTATCTCTGTGTAGTTCCAGTTCTCATTTCTCTAAAGGCCAGTGAAATTGAAGTTGAAGTCATTTTTTCAAATTTTGGCTTTTTATACTTAGGGTATCTACATGCAGAAGATTGAAGGTAGACCAGTGTCTCTCACTATCTACTAAACTGAAATTAAAGTGAGTCAAAGATCTAAATATTAAAACAGAAACACATAATCTGTGGAAGATAAAATGGGTAAATCTTTCAAGTCATAGGCATAGGCAAGGCTGAATAGAATCTCAGTTGCACAAAAAATAACATCAGGGCTGGGGATTTAGCTCACTGGTTCCGCCTCTTGCCTTGCAAGCACAAGGACCCGAGTTCAATCCCCAGTACCAAAAATAGTAATATAAAAAAATAACATCAAAAGTCAACACTTGGGGGGCCAGGGACTTAGCTCAGTGGTTCTGCACCCTGCCTTTCAGTCACAAGGTCCCGAGTTTGGTCCCTAGTACCAAAAACAAAACAAAACAAAAAGTCAACACTTGGGATTATATCAAACTAAAAAGCTTCTACACAGAAAAGGAAACAACCAACAGAATAAAGTGACAAACCTCAGAATGGGAAAAAAATTTTTCCAGGTATACCTTGGACAGAGGACTGATATCTAGAAAATATAAAGAACTGAAAAAATTTAGGACTCCCCCTCAAAATAAAAGACCCAAAAAAAAAAAAAAAAAACAGGAGCTGAAATGAACAGATACTTCTCAGAAGAAATACAGAAAGGTCCATAAATACATGAAGAAATGTTCAACTTTGCTGGCCTTTAGAGAAATGTAAATTAAAATATTACCCATCTGTATTTCATAGATCTCTGGCTGTGGGGTACATAAACTAGTAACGTATGAATTATGTTTACTTGGGAGCCAAATCTAGAAATGGAAAACATGTAAAGAATTGTTTTTATGAGAAATTACCAAAAGTTAACTTTAAACAGATTTCCATAAGTCAATATTTATATTTAGAAATTAAGGAATATTTGTGCTTTTATTTTGAATAATTAAAGTCCCAAAACAGTGCTCAAGACCAGTGTATTTATTAACAGTGTAGAATTTTAAAGTTGATAGTAGTGATAATAGCTATGTATGTTAATATGACAATATAGCAAGAGCTTTTTAATGGTACTATATTCAGAGTGTTATTTCAATTTAACTTTTTTGTGATGAACAGAGACTAAATGCTCCACCTTCTATCTTCTAGATACAGCAGAATCCAGGGCTGGTAGAAGAACAGATGTGAGTGTATTCTTGGCTCCCCGCTCTGCAGCGGTGCCTCTTGTTAACCCATGTGGACTTGGGCCTGGTGCACCTGGCCATCTTCTTTTGAAGCCCATCTCAGATGTGCTGCCCACATTTACGCCTTTGCCAGTGTCACCTGACAACAGTGCTGGAGTTGTACTAAAAGACCTTTTAAAGCAATAGGTGATTCTCTAGCCAGAGATGTTAAGCACTTTAAAGAAACCATCAACACTATGTGTATATACTTTATCACAAAGTGGCCTTTTGGAAGAAGTCATGCATTTGTTTGCAGTTGTAATTTCCCTAAATTTAATAAAAATATTCTTAGTTGCTTTAGAAATTACAGGTGTCAGAGAAGAAATGTTTGCTATGTAATCTACTTTTATTTTCTTCTGGGGTTTATTCTAACTTAACCTAGAAACATTTTATTTATTTTACCTTGGAAAAATAAAAACGGAAAAACAAAAATGCTAGTAACTATATATACATATCAGCTTTTTATTTCAATCTGATTTTCAAGCTCTTTTAAGATAGAGATATGATTTATCTTTTAAAAGTAATGAAGGATTTTTAAAAATGAAAAATATAGATAGAAGTGGCTTTTCTACATAGTGCAGATAATTGGTCCGAAGCAAACATGAGTCACCTTTAGAGAACTCTGAGTCAACAGCTGAGGACAGGGTTGTCCTGGAGGTCACAGGCCCCGAGACCGGATGTGAGTTTGGTTCTCTGCAGTTCTGTCTCCTGTGCACGCTCAGGTGACCGCTGCCACAGTCGGGATACAGCAGTCTCATCATAGGGACCCTGTGCTGCCCTTTCCCAGCCAGCATCACCCTCCTACCTCCCACCTTAGTCCCTGACAGCCGCTCTGTTCCCCAGCTTTGTTGTTTAGTCATTTCCGGAATACTTTTCGGGCGGAAGCCTCTTGGGACTGGTCTTTCTCACTTGGCACAGTTCCCTGCAGCTCCATCCAAGGGGCCGCAGTATCCATAGCCCGATCCCCTTTACTGGTGAGGACCTGGCATGAATGTACTTTTAGTCTGAGCAGCTAAGGTGTCTGTTCGCAGGCGTCGTCTGAAACTGAAGACTGCCCCGCAGGAACACACCTGACTGCGGAGCGGGAACTCACCCAGCTGCGCCCGCGTAGCTGTCATTAGCAATGTAGCTGCACTGGCTGCCGCCCCGCCTCTGTCTGATGCGTCAGTACCCAGAGGTTCGGCAGCTGGATCCCTGGGTCCCCATCACGGGGGCCACTGAGGCAGGAGCTCCCTTTGACAGCACCAGCACCAGCACCAGCCAGGTGTCCGGAACTTAAGAGTGAGGGCACTTCTTTAATTTTCTATACACCCGTCACCAGATCCCTGACGTGGAGACCTACTGTGTCAGGATGCTCAGATTGGTGTTAGTTATTGAAGCTGTATACTAGCATCACCTGTGGATCTGGTAAGTTTAGATATGCCTTTAATAGAAGCATTTATATAGCAAGGAAAGATAAAAATGGGATTAATCCAAATATGTAAATAGATCTGGCTGCATTTGGTTGTCAATTTTGCTGTGATTAACTATATTTCTAATGCATTTAGAAGGGTGGAAGATTTGATTATGTGTTGATGGTTAAAACTAGTTTTCTGAAAAATTATGAGATAGTGCTGCTTCACAATGTCACCTTAATTTATTTTGCCGCTCTTTAGTGCATTTGAAGGAAAGTTGTTATAGAAGCTCATATTAGAGCTTTTAGACAGCCTCCTGTCTGTCTGCCCATTATTTCTCTGTGACCCTACACACGCTCCTCAGCTTACAGTGGGACTGCATCCCTATCAACCCATTGTAAATTAAAAATATGTACAATTCATGCCTTAAAAAGGTATGAATTTTCCAACTCTCCTAAATTATGCGCTGCTTGCCATTGAAGTTTCATTCCATGCAGAGAAACTGAAATAATAGTTTTTAAGCTAAAAACATTATGCTTGGTTTCTTCATTTTAAAGAAATGGAACATACAAAAAATGTTTTATTTTGAAAAGGAGATGTATGGTGGATATTTATGTAGTACGTCATATATATAAAATGCCTTCTATGATATTTTAAGTCTGACTCAAAAACCTGTCTTCATCTTCCATAGTTTAGCCTAAGTTTGACAGCTGCTGGAGCTGGACTGTACATCCAGACATCACAGAGCACATCACATGGCTGGCATTTAAGTTTCTGCCTTTGTCTGAAGCTGTGATGCCTGATATCTTTGTTGTGTCCGGGAAACTATAGCTGACCTGCATGAGTAGTACATGTGTGTGTTGATCTAAACCAGACATAACTCACTGACGTTTCTGAAACATGGTTGTGTCAGAGAACCATCTGTTCGAGGAATCTTCTTAGTAGCCAGGCAGTGATGCGGCATATAATGCAGACGCTACCAATGGGACATTGCCAACAGAAGGCTTCTGGCACTATTTTAATTATGATAGTTTTGCTGTTTTTTTCTCTATAAACAATAGAATTTGTGGTTGAATTTCAGTTTTTGCTGCCAGTTTTTCACAGCATTTCTAATGTTTTTCAACTATAGTTAGTGAACATATTTTATTTTATTTTATTTCTTTTATTGAATTTATTGGTACATTTTAGGTATACAGTACAGTTACATTCGTTATTGGGATCTTGTACTTTTACATGACAGGTCTTGGTTCTCATTTTTTCTCCTTGTCTAGTGAACATATTTTAATAGAAAATTTACAGCCATTGAGTTTAATTTTGATGTAATTCTCTTTCTTACGGTCCCCGCCACACACACATACACACACACTGAGAACTGGACCCATGGCCTTCACACTGAACCCCCAACCCTATTGCAATGTGGGAGATGAACTTACTAAATTCCCCAAGCTGGTCAAAACTTGTGATCCTCCTGCCTCAGCTTTTCAGAGTGCTGCATTTATAGGCACGTGCTACCACATCTGGCTTTCAGGTTTTTAAAGTTTTAGTTCCTAGTGTTCTTGTTTGTTCAAAAATGAAGGTAGGGGACCAAAACTAATAAAACCATAGGATAAAAGGAAAGACTTTCTTGCAACTAGAAGTGGAAATGTTAAATATTACCAGCTTATGTTTAAGAAGATTTCAAAAGGCTTACCTAGTCTGTAACTGGAGGAGGGGAAGCAAGCTGCATTTGGGGACAGGGATGATGAGAACTGTTTACAAAATGCTATGCATGAAGCCTCAAAGCATTTGAATTTGATTTTTACAACTAGTGAAGTTTTGCTGGGCCAAGTGGCATATGCCTATAATCACAGCACACAGGAAGCTGAGGCAGGAGGATCACTGTAAGGTCAAGGCCAGCCTGAACTATATAGTAAGATTTTATCTCCAAAAAACAATAACAAAAATAATAAATAAAATAAAACTAGTGAAGTTCTTCATATATCAAAATGTTTAAAACATCTTCCATCAATAAAAATTCAATGTAAATATCAAATAAGTTAGATCATATTTATATATTCCTATGGAAAATGGTAATTTTAATGTTTTGACATTTGGTTATTTCCCTTTTAACCTTTGAAGGTTTTACTATTTAAAATTGACAAATTAACCAGGCATAGTAGAGCATGCCTGTAATCTCAGCACTCTGAAGCCTGAGGCTGGAGGATCATCATGAGTTCAAGGCCAGCCTGGGCCAGCCTGGACTACACAGTGAGATCCTGTCTCAAAAAAAGACTTGACTTCAGTAAAGACTGCTTTTGCATTAAAAAACAAAACAAAACCTTGAAAAAATTGATAAATTTTTATTTGATTTATAGAGAAATAATGTAATTGTGAGAAATTTTTGATACAACCATATCTTTTATGGAACTAAAATGAGTGCATTTTTTAATTTCTTGGGAGTGCTGCAAGGCAAAATAATGTTCCAAATAAAAATCATATATTTAAATAAGCAATGTCTTCATACATGAGAATTGTTAAAGTTAATATTTATTGGTATATTTTTACATACATAATAATCACTTTAATCATAGGAAATTTCTACCTGTGCATAATATATCTTAATTCTTTTTTTCCCATTCCCCTCCTCTCCAATCCTTCTTCCCCTCCCTTTTTATAAAACTTCATATCCATTGTTTTTCTTCCATTCTTTTAAAAAACCTTATTCCCTTTCTTCTCTTCCCCTTCCCCACTCCCTTCTGCCCATTCCCATTTGATTATTTTCTTCCTACCTCCCAATGTCTGTCCTCCATTTTGTTCCCTTTGGGTTTTTCACACAAGAGAAACAATGTAATATCTAAACACATATGTCTGATTTATTTAATTTAAAATTATTTTCTCAAGGTATATCCATTTACCTAAAAAGTCTCAAGCATCCTTCTTTATGGCAGAACAGTACTCCATTATTTATAAAAATACATTTCCTTTATCCATTCATCTGTTGATGGGCATATGGGCTTTTTTTTTTTTTTTTTTTTTTTTT